CGAATAAAATAACATACAATTTTGTGCAGAATACACTTTTATTTGTTAGCTTCTCTCTTTCTTTCAGTAGCGGAAATTTAAATGAGATTCTGGAAACGAGATCTAAATTTAGCGGGAACGGTCGGGTTGGGAAGAAAATTATTCTAAGCGAACAGCGGGTGAACAAAGAGTGAATATATAGCGGGAGCGGGTGGGTGCAGAATAGAACCTTGCGGGAGTGGGACTTAAAAAACAGTCCCGCGCAGACCTCTACCTGGAGCTGATCCATGCTGGTCGCTGAGGAAATACATCAACTTCGTGCTTCGGCTTTCACCGTGGACGAAGCGGAGTCCAGCCCGGGGTCGTCACATGTGGTTGCCGCAATCCCGCAGGACGCTCCTTCGTCGAATCCGCCGGCCGCGCCGTTCTCAAGCCCACCGGCCGTCGCTCACTAAGCACGCCAGCCTCTGCTCACTCAAGGCCGCCGTGTGTGCCGCTGCGTTTCGTTGTGAAAGCGAAACTACTTTGTTTGGCCTTCCAAAAGAGGACACGACTAGAAATCAGTGGTTAAGTTGTATTTACAACACTGTTCCAGAACAGTTCAAACCCCTTTAAATAGCCTGCATAGCACTTCATCTTTTATAACATGGGATTTTGACTAAATATATTCAATCTTGATTTTTGCAAAATGTTGCAACAAGATGTGTTTTTTTTTTTTGTGTGTGTGTGAAAAATTACAGCTTTGGACATAAGGTAATAAAAAATATTTTTAAAAATACCTTAAAGTAACTACAAATGAGCGTGTAAAACAAATATCTTTAAAAGAAATTCCATGTGGAGCATGCCCCTGATCCATGCAATCTTCTCCCCTTTTTTCCCCCTTACCTGTTTGCATCTCTGTATAATAGCGTATTGATGTTTTATGGCTGTCCTATGCTGAACTGTGCAAGTGGTTTTCATTGGACATGACTTGGATTTTGTTAACTGCAGATCAAGCAGTGGTTGCTTGTATGGCCTGTAAGCTCACTTTTAGTTTGTACAAATAAGTCATAATCAGCACCTCTTTCTGATCCTACAGTACCCAGAGGAGCGGGAGTTCCTCAAATCCCTGGAGCATTCTGTGTCCTGGGTAGAGAAAAGAGTCCTTCCTTTCCTGGCCAGCTCCAGCAGTGAGCAACAATTGTCTTTAAGCAGGAAGACAGTAGAAGTGAGTGGCATGATCAGTGTGAAAGTAGTTTTTTTTTCTGTTGGTAATTTGTCAATTTAAATTGTCATAATATTTAACAATATTTCCTTTTTTTTTTTTTTTTGATCAAATAAATGCAGCCTTGGGGAGCATAAGAGACTTCAAAAACATTTTTAAAAAATCTTACCAACAAACTTTTAGTGTACATGCAAAACATTTTAAGTCTTTATATATAACATTATTATATTAAAAATATTGTTTTCCTTGTTGAAAATGATAGACAACACATGAAGCCTAATCCTAAAACTAATTCATTGCTTCACAATGAACTGTGCAGACACACATGATTTTGCATTGTGTATATAATTTGTTTCCCTTTTCTGTATCATTGTCAGAGTTGTTTAACAGTGTGCAAGGATGTGCTGCGGGTTTCTGTAGGAGACCGTGATTTCAGAGACCACGTACTGCAGCATGTTGCTTCTGTCCTGCAGACAGGTGAATAAGTCTTAAGTCTTTATGCTGATGTATGACCTAGTGATTGTATTATAAACGGACAGATTTGTGGGTTTATTCAAGATATAATTACATGTTTGACCACTTTCCCACAAAAGTTTACAAGAGAGTGCTGCATCAGCAGTGTTTCCCCTGCCATTATATTAGGGGTGCGGCCCACCCCCCCAACGGCGCCCCCCTTGAAGGTCAAGTTAATTATAGGGCCAGATCACAACAGAAGTTATTTAAAGTTACCTTTCCTATAGAACAGGTATATACCGTGTTCTTTTATTAAACAAACTAAATAGCCTTATGGTATTTATCTTATTTACACGACGGCATGTCATTTCTGTCTCTACGTTACATGGTCGTGCTCTCTGCATTGCGTACAGCGGAGTTCCGCCCCGATGCACACACACAAGTGAGCATGCTCCCACTCCCAATAGTATTTGTAAATATTAAGCCGCAAAACTATTTAAATATGAATTCTGCGTGTCTCTGTGTTAATGAATGGCGCAGACGCGCGCTTTTGTTTACTACTTGATATTAACGTCTGCCGTCTCACTGATGAGGACATAAATACATGAACAACATCTCCAGAACTGCTCTGAGAGTCACTTCATGAGCATTTGACGTTTAATTTGAGTAAAACTATCCTCATATCATATACACACAGAAATGTAATGGTATTCACGGCAACCCGTCAAAATAAAAGTTTGGCTTAACTTGAAGACATTGCGGCAGAAATATAGGCTATTACTTACTATTGTTCAGTAGAATGTACGTAATAGGCTACTACTATGCTAAAACACAGAATTTCCCCCCAGCCGTAAACCTAGGGGAAACACTGATCTGTGATGCCAAAACCCAGAAGACTCATTCAACATACGTTCCCCTGAGATTTTTCTTATGGGTTTTTCAATTCATTAGTAAAATAAGGTCTGTGGTGAACATAACTAGCCGATTTTTGAAAGTTTTGTTGTACAGCATTGTAACGAATCAGCTCATGAGGAAATATGAATAATTAATCATAACTAGTTATAATTAATTATGAATATTTAGATCCGCTGTAGATATTTACTTGACCTCTCAGGGTCAACTGTCTTGTCAATTCTAAGAACGTTAATTTCCTGGTTAAGGGAAATAACTTTCTTACTGTACAAATATATATTGTGTGTTTGAGTGGTCCAGACGCTACAGCATATACTGCACACACTCCCACCCAAAATATTCCTGTGTAGTTACTGTACCAATTATAAACATACGATTTTAAAAATGATCATAACTGCTTTAAAATTTGCGCTTTTAGTATGTCTGTGTGTTATGTTGTAGAGCAAAACGTCCGATTATCGTCAATTTATATTTACCACAGACCTTGTTTTATTCATAAATTGAAAAACCCCATTATATAAACCCATAGGAAAATCTCGAGGGAACCCATGGCGAATTAGTAATGCTTTTATAACAAATGTTCTGTATGCGTGTTCATTTAGAGAAAGGATACGTGTGCATCCCTCCTGTGCTCGCTCTGCTTACTGAGGTGGCACAGGGCTGCCTTTCCCATAAGCCTGAGGAAGATCAGGAAGATCAAACATCCCTCACTATCCGCATTTTGACCAACATCTTCCAGAAAGTTGTGGAGATCATAGCACATCGTCTGCGTAAAGACATGGATGAGGGGCAGGAGGTGAGGTGTTAGTGCCTTCCTCAAATTCACTTTCCATTTCCAGATGTTTCTGAATGTGTTTGACAAACGTGTGTGCACATGTACATATTTAAACTCAATTTAGTCTTGTTAAAATTTGACTGACATTCTGCCTGACGACATTTTATTCTGACACTTCATTTTAAAAAGCCTTTCTTTATGTATCTTTAGTTGTGTTGCTCTTCTGAAGAAGCTCTCTATGACTTCTTGCTGGTGAGTAAGTTTACAACTGAGAGGTCAGAGTTCATCACAGGAGTCTTCTCATCACTCTGTGCAGCAGTTATTATTGATATCAGCCGCACCTTGCAGAAGGTAAATCTGCTAATTGTTTAGTTTATTGTGCTGTTTGATGTTTGTGTGGCATTTCTCCTTTGTCTTTTTAATTGAAAGACTTGTTGAGCTCAAAGTATTTCTTTTACTCAGATCTCGTCTTTAAATAAGTTATGTAAATAAGAAATATTTTGTTTTTGAGACCGACGTTTTTGATGTTTCTTCATGCAGATCTCTCATGTGGAAGAGGTGTTGACTCCAGAGACGGTTAATGACCTTCCACCTCTCTCGAACACCATACTCAAAGTAATGCTCAGATCACCTGCTGTTACCAGGTAACATTAAACACCAGCTAGAACTAAAAGCCCATGTTCATACTTAAATTGAACAATTCTAATCATTTTCTGGTATGTTCTAGGTTTTTTCTATCTGAAATGAGCTCCTCCATAGAGTCAGAGGCCATCGATAGTATCACACAGTGGGCTGCAGTTACACACATTCTGACCATCATCAAACAATGTGAGTTTTTGTTACTAATTTTAGTTGTGGTTAAGGCCCGTTCACACCAATAAAGATAACAATAAGTATATTAGCATCTGCACCAACAGACCATAACATCGTTTACTATATATGCATACTGCAAATATGTCATCTGCCACTTAAAATGCGCAAGCTCGGACTATCATTCATCAACTGTACAAAATAGAGAATGATTCCAATCACATTGTTCCTCTGTGTTGTTATCATTGTAATTGTGGTGTGGCCTTCCCTATTCTCATGAAATTATAACGATTGTTAAAACTTCACAGTTATAGTTATCACCATTGGTGTGAATGGGCCTTTATTTAGTTCCATCACCTGAATGCTTGATAGTAAGAATTTGAGGAATTTCTGAATTATTCTACTGAACACATTCTCAAAGCTTTCATTTCGCAGAGCCTAAAGCATGTAACAAGTCCAGTGGAGTTGGACTTGAAGTAACTTGAGTGATATGAAGTGAAAAAAGAGACTGAGATTCATTTTGTTTCTTTTATAAAATCCTCTCAATACATGATTGTTTTTACCCTTCTGCTCTGTTCATTACAGCTGATGCATTTATTGTGGAGTTGAAGGAAATTGCTTTGTCTGTACGCAGACAAATACAGAACTATTATAACATCACTGCTGAAAACTCTGACAATATACAGAGGTAAAAGATTTAGATGTCATATTGTGAAAGCATGCTGTCTGAGTCCTATATACAATAATAGCTGTACAACTGTTCATGTTGTTTTGTTCTGTCTCTCAATCTTAGGACCATCTATGAATCCACTGTCAGGATGCTGATTGATATCCTAAATCAATGCCAACAACCAAACAGTTAAATGGGCAAGCTAATAGTTTCGAGCTTCTGCATACTCCCACAAAATCCTTTATTTCTTATTTTGTACTCTTAGCTGTATACTGTCTTGGATGTTTTTTTGTTTTCACTCTATATTACAAGAACATTCACTTTATAAACAAAACTTCCATAAAACTGTGTCTTGGTTCATTGGAATCACTATTCATTTTCTTTTGTACAGTTTCAAATGCAACAGTGTTTCCATTGCATATAACTGTAGGTTATAATCTTATCAATCTTTGCAATTCTATTTTTTCTCTCCATTTTTTAAGACATTTTAGTGAATCTGGTTTACCTTAAGACGATACTTCTGTTTAAGGTGTCTTTGATGAAATGCGTCCCTCCTATTTACCTTTTCTGCTTTATACTTAGATCCAAATACTGGGGTGTGATGTGTTGTTATACTTAGACTTTTCCCTATTAAACCATAGAAATGTACAGACAATAATTGCTAAATGTACTCTGAGATATGAATATATAATTGAATATTTTTTCACCGTGTCACAGTCTAAAATCATGCTGTGAAATAAAGAAAAAGCACATGAGATTCAGACTGATTTGGAAGAAAGCGGTGTTGCTTATAACTTAAAGTGAAGTGTGCCCATAACCATTCAGTCTTCACTGTCGGTCCATGGTGTAAATTTCACTTTCTCCGCTTTCTAGGATATGAATGGAGATTGTTCGACATGCTAAATTATAGCATAACGTTGACTTTGTTCACCACACACGTAGCATGTGATTTATTGTAGTGCGTTGTTTGTCAAGTACATCATACCAGCGTTTCGGTAGGGGGCACAACCTTTAAGCAAAACAACTGCGCTCGAAAGCAACGTAGATAACCCTTCCTCAACTGCGTCTGTCTGAGAAAAGAAAAGAAGAGAAGAAGTGCGGTCCATCGCTGCAAACGAAATACACCTGACCGTACAGAAGTCTTAAAGGGTTAGTTCACCCAAAAATTTAAGTTCTGTAATTAATTACTCACCCTCATGTCGTTTCAAACCCGTAAGACCTTCGTTCATCTTCGGAACACAAATTAAGATATTTTTGATGGAATCTGAGCAACTGAAGTGTTCCCAAGTCCAGAAACGTAGCAAGGAGATCTGTAAAATAATCCATGTGGCATCAGGGGTTCATCCGCAATTACACAAAGCTACGAAAATACTTTTTGTGCACAAAAAAAACGACTATTCAACAATTTGTCTCCGCATCACCCTCGTGCCATTTTGGAGAATATCAGCTGGACTTAAACAACGTATGCTGTTCTGTGTCAGCTGTTCCATACCAGATCTGTTTCCTACATTGTTGTGATTTGATCTGAACGAAAACAGTGTATCCGTGTGACGCAGCTGACTGTTTATGGGGCTATAGGGTGATGCGGAGGAGACGAATTGTTGAATAAAATCGTTTTTTTTTAAAATTCAGATTCCATCACAAATAAATTAATTTGTGTTCCGAAGGTCAGACGGGTTTGAAACGACATGAGGGTGAGTAATTAATGACAGAATTTTCATTTTTGGGTGAACTAACCCTTTAAAACACGCACTTTTGTTTTTTAATTAACCTTCAATAAACACAGTCAAAGTACAGTTAGGACTACAATAATACACATGAAAACAAAACACACACACACACAAAAAAATACTAAATATGTATACAAAATACAAATACAGCCAGGGGGATGGGCTAAACATCATGTAAATGTGTTAAAGGACTTACAAATGGAGAAAGTCTTAATTGCTTTCTTATTATGTAAATAAAAATTGTCTTACCATAATTTTTAATTTATTTTTCAAGAACCAAAAGAACCAAATTGGCTTTACTGTACTTACACTTATACACTACTGTGCTTATACTTACACTTTTATTTGAGTTATTTGAGGGGAAACCAAATAAAACATGTTCTAAGCACAAAGAAAAAGTGGGGTCAATGTTATCAATTATAAATCTAGTCAAATCTTTCCAAAAAAATGTAACATAAGAGCAATGCCAA